ATCAATCAATCAATCAATCAATAAAACGGATGAACGAACGAACGAACGAGTGAATGAATGAATAAATAAATAAAATTGAACCAGAGGATATCTGGATTTGTCTGGTGAATCTAGGAACTTCTTTCAGAGGAAGAGTGGGCACGTTTCTGTTTCAGCTTTATTTTGTCTTTATTTGGTTTTTGGGTGGTTTATATGTTTTGGATGTGTGGTGAGAGTTTGTATGCAAAATCACTGCTTCTGAAGGATTCCAAATGCAGAAAATGCACTTTTTGGGGGGCCAAAAATTGGGTAATGGTGGGCTTTTGGGAGAAGGAGTAAAAAAAAAAAAGCTACAGCCCTGTTTTAGAGACAGAATAGAGAAAAGTAATCTCAACTGTCTCAAGGCTACCTTGTTCATCTTGGCACAGAGTGGCTCAGTCCCACCACCCCTATCTCCTTTAATGACTCTGCTAATTGCAATGACCGGACAAACTCCCTTACTAATACAGGAGACGTATGCCTAATTGACAGGCTTCTAGGCACAGCTTGGGAACCTTTTTTTTTTTTAACTACAGTTCTCATAATCAGCGAGCATTCTGGGAGCAGTAGTACAAGGGGATCCTGAGAGCTATACGCCAAAAAGCTCTGCCTTCACATCCTTTTTTGCTCCTATCAAGAGTTCAAGGCAACCCAGGAGTCTTGCTTGAGCTCCACTTCACTGAGTCTATTCCCAACAACTCTTTCGCTGCTCTTCATTGACTCTTAAGGAGCAAATGTGGGTTGTGTGTTATTTACAGTTTTTGGGTGGACAACAACAGGACAAATCCATTTTCATGTTTCCGCCACTCCAGTGGATATACTAGTCATGCCTGACTTGGGTTCCACATGTACATCATTCTGGAATGCCATGTTAAAAAACACAAACATATGCACATTGAATCACTCACTTTTTCCACGGAGAAATCTCTTATAGTCCACTCTGGGAGGACAATTTCAGATGTCATCGCTACTATGATGTCTCCATAGCTCTTGGATTGTTTGTTTGGCCAGTACTCCTCACATTTTGTCTGAAAATAGGAAATAAGCAGCACAATATTTCCAAATAGTTAACATGATTAGCTCCAACCTTGACATCCCAAATCTATGTAAGCCCCTTTTGATTTCAAGATTGTTCTGTTTTTCCATGACTTTGAGCTGAATGAGGGGATCCGGGGGGGAAATCCAAGAAGAAACTGGAAAGGTTTGAAAAAGCAAAGACTGAGACTCATAGCCCAGAAGGTCTTCAGGTTTCTTCAGCTGCTGAGGCTTTTTTTGTAGCCAGTCAAGATCTTGCCCCGCCATGCAAAGTAGAAATGTAGCAGAGAAAGGAACAGTGAGCAGATCTTGGATCTGGAAATGGGATAGACAGATGGAACACGGACCTCTTCCCAGTCCAGGTGGAAAGGGGACAGGCAGGAGCTTTGGGCCATGTCTCAGCCACACGGTTTTGTGCACACTCTCTCTCTGATATCCTGCCTTCCTCCCAACAAAGGGACCCAAAAGCAGCTCAAAACATTCAAAAACAAATGCAGCTAAACAAATTGTTGTTGTTTAGTCGTTAAGTCGTATCCGACTCTTTGTGACCCCATGGACCAGAGCATGCCGGGCCCTCCTGTCTTCCACTGCCTTCCGGAGCTTGGTCAAAAACAAAAATACAATATTAAAAAACAAGGAAACTACAATTGTTAAAATAACCACATATATACAGTGGTGCCTCGCTTAACGACAATGAAACTACCATCGTTAAAACCACATATACTGTATACTAGAGATGGGGGTATTTGTATACAAATATGAATGCCCCTGCACAGCTGGACTTAATGAGGGTCCACTCATGTGTCCAGTGGCAGTGGCAGCCTCCTCGGGCAGCCTTCCAATCACTCCTGGAGCGCCACTCTCTTTCCGTTCATCTAGCCAACTCCAGACAGGGAGAGGGAGGACAAGTCTCCCTGCATGGCTGATGAGTGGCTAGATGGGCGGAAAGAGAGCACCGCTCCGGGAAGGACTGGAAGGCTGACCAAGGCTGCTGCTGCCAGCAGACGCGTGAGTGGACAGTCCAGCCCCAGGGGCTGGACCCTCCTTTAGTCCAGCTATGTGGGGGTATTCGTATCTGTATACAAATACGAATACCCCCATCTCTAATATACACACACAGTCCACACAGAGAGAGAGAACATACATAGAGAGGGTTTGTGTATATAAGAATGAATGATATGTATTGTTTGCATAAGAGAACATGTGTAACCTATCAGACTGTGTGTGGTGTCAACCAACAGGTTAGCTGTAAGATATAAGATATAAGAAAAAAGTGCCAGTTAGTATGAGGCTTGTCTGCTGATGTGAGTTTTTCTTCCCCAGTTAGGACAATTTGCTGCTAGTTTGTCTGCTGTTAGTACATTTCTTCGTCTGTAACAGTAAGGAAGATGTTAGAAAACTGTTAAGTGTCTGCTATGAAACTGTTCTAAGAGGCCTGTCAAGTGCAAACCAAGTTAAATATTCAATTATGGTTAGCTTATTCTTCAATATACTTTAAGTAAATCTCCTTAAAGTCTGCTATGACTGAATGATTATTCTTTTATCTGCTGGCGCACATACAAACATGTATCAAGGGAGAATATTATTCATAATCTGTGTGAATGTTTAAATTCATGCTTAATCTCTGTGTGCAATCTCACAATAATTCAACATATTGGACCTGCTGAAAGTCCTGAACATTTTCCGAAAGCAGCCCCATGTAGAACACATTACAGTAATTCATGCCCAAGGCATGTGTCATTAAGGAATGTGTCACTGAGTTCAGATGTTTCCAGGAAAGCACGTAGCTGGCACACCACTTTTAGAAGTGCAAATGGGAGTCAATCCATCATGTATTCAGTCTTCCTCTTTTCCTGATGCCTTCCACCTTTCCCAGCATTGCCTTTTCCAGAGAATCCTGCCTTCTCATGATGTGCCCAAAATACGACAGCCTCAATTTCAGTATTTTTTTGCCTCCAGAAATAGTTCAGGCTTGATTTGATCTACGACCCATGTGTTCATCTTTCTGGCATTCCAAGATATCCGCAAAGCTCTTCTCCAGAAACACATGTTAAATGAATTTTTTTTCCTGTCAGCTTTCTTTACTGTCCAGCTTTCATGCCCATACAAGATTGGAAATACAAGAGTATGGATGATCTTAATCTTGGTCTCCAGTGACACATCCTTACATTTGATGATCTTTTCTAATTCTTTCATCGGTATACTTCTGCGTCTCAGTCTTTTTCTGATTTCTTGGCAGCAATCTCCATTTGGATTTATGACAGAACCAAGGAACATAAGCTTAACTATTTCAATTTCTTTACTGACAAAATTAAAGTTGTATAGTTCTTCTGTAGTCATAATTTTGTTTTGTTTTCTTAATTTGCAACTGAAGTCCTTTTTTGGCACTTTCTTCTTTTATTTTCACAAAAAAGTATGGGGGTAAAATTCCATTAAATATGAAAGTGCCATCCCTACCACCTACCAAGGCAACCAAGGCCATCCCTGTTCTGTAACCAGGCTTCAAGTGGGATTGAAATGGATCTAGATAAGCCACTTTGAACAGAAACCTCTGAAGTTGAGAAACCACAACAGGCTCCAATATTTTACCTGGAAATGGAGAGGCAGAGATTGGGCGATAGTTATCTAATGCAATGGTATACTACATGGGCTTTTTAAACAATGGTCTTACTACTGCCATTCCACTGACATGCCTTTCAACTCACCAGAAATATATCTATGATATCTGGATTAAGCTTCAGGATTTTGCCCTCATTCAAACCATTATCAACATCAGACACTGGTTCAGAGCTAGAGCAGCTTCCTTAGATATATATAGAAAGAAAATATGGAAAGAAGAGTTGGGTGTAATCTGTGTATGGTGGCACTGAAACTCCAGATGAGCTTGTATGCAAATTAAATAGCATGGGGGACAAGACAGACCCATGAGGGACCCCACAGGCCAGGCCATCAAACAGGAGTCTTCCAGAACCATTTTCTAAGCTTGCCTCTCTCTTGTAGGGACCGGAGCCACTTGTAAGTTGCCTTGATACCCGCAAGGAGAGAAAGGTGGGACAGAAATTGAAAAGATATAACATAACAAACATAACATAATGTAAAGTAACATAATTCCTTAATTCTAATACCATCTGTGAGTATGGTTTGTGGCACAATCACACTGCATCGCAAGATTTTGTAGGATTATTCAAAGCTAGAGCAGTTAGATATATATAGAAAGAAAATATGGAAAGAAGAGTTGGGTGTAATCTGTGTATGGTGGCACTGAAACTCCAGATGAGCTTGTATGCAAATTAAATAGCATGGGGGACAAGACAGACCCATGAGGGACCCCACAGGCCAGGCCATCAAACAGGAGTCTTCCAGAACCATTTTCTAAGCTTGCCTCTCTCTTGAAGGGACCGGAGCCACTTGTCAGTTGCCTTGATACCCACAAGGAGAGAAAGGTGGGACAGAAATTGAAAAGATATAACATAACAAACATAACATAATGTAAAGTAACATAATTCCTTAATTCTAATACCATCTGTGAGTATGGTTTGTGGCACAATCACACTGCATCGCAAGATTTTGTAGGATTATTCAAAACTAACAAAAAACGTACCCTGCCCTGTTCAACACATTTGGTCAACATGACTACTGCATAAATGTTCTTCTCCCATATCATGCGCCAGAAGTCTTGCACGGTGGTTGGCAAAGGGCCTTGAGCGGCAATGAACTCTTCCTTGGAGTTGTACCCCTGCAACGAAAATGCACTCTGAACACCATTTTTCTTCTTCACAAATCATTCATAAAAAAACATAATTATCTATGGAGATTTTTTTTAATAGGATAGGAAGACTTACAGGCATATAGTTTGCATTAATGTAATCATCAAACGGACTGGTCTTCATCGAAAGTTTAACACGAGAAAATTCATCTGAGAAGGAAAAAAAGATGCATTAAAAGATATATTTAAAAATGGCACTTTCAAAAAAGGCAATTTGCTTGTTAGAAAAGAGGAAACCATATAGACAAGGTGGGCAAAAAGTGGTGCAATGACTGCATCACACCAAACCCTCCAGTGTGGCTCTCCAAGCTCCTATAGTCCTCCTGGTCTGTCCCTTCAATTTCTGGCCATTAAAATGAGCAATGTTGGGTTTTCGGCTCTTTCTGGCTATTTTTTTTAGGGGGGTTGGAAACAGCTTCAAAACTGAAAGCAATCAGAAACAGCCGGTCTAGCCTGGGTGCAGTTCTCCAGGGGCGCTCAGCAGGGCAGACACAGCCTCTCAGACCCTGGAAGCTGACCCTCCCAGTATGCAAAATGAAAGAATACAGGACATATATTAATCAAGACTACGAGTAACCTCAATTATTTAAGTCAAACACATGTAGAATAGCACTGGGAATTTTCCTTACCAATAAACTGGCCACAATCCAACAAAAATTAGTCATGCTTAAATTCAATTGAAATTAACACACGCCTCATTACTTTCACTCAAGAAGGGTGACAGAGGAGCCTTGAGAAGGGTTTTTAAAAACTGTTTTTCCTTGGAGGAAATGATACACGGCTGATGGATCTAGTACAAAAGCAAATCCAGTTCTTTTCCTGCAAGCAGACAGATAATCCCATGGGATGATCTCCCTTCTTCCAGGTGTGAACAGACAGGCACACACTCCACAGTTCCTGGGAACTGTGAATTCTGGGCTTGATGAGATGGGCATTTGTCCTACGAACACATGGTGTAATCACTGAAATGAACTAGACAAAAGCATCCCCAGAATGTCCTACCCACACCTTTCTGAGCCTTTGTCAGAGGCTTCTACTTTTCTGGTGCAGGATCACTTCTGGTTTCATCAATTTCCAGCACGTATGGTTGCTGGGAATGGGCCAAAAGTGAGCCTTCCCAATTAACAAGGCTCCTTCTGATTGGAATCTGATATCACTTCCTTTGTTACTTGGCAGAGGGGCAGGGGAAGTGAAATTTCTTTTAAGACTCTGGTAGGCTATTACTGGGGCACTGAATCACTTAAAAAAAAAAGAATATTTTCTCGGGTTTCTTTTAAAGAAACTCCCTACAGCCAAATCCACAGATTTTTCTTTTCTTTTCTTAAAGTGGTGCAGTGCCTCAGCGATAGTTTACCAGGGTCTTAAAAGAAGTTTCACTTCCCTTTCCCTGCCCCAAGTGTTCCATTTGCTAATATCCTGAAGTAGCTCACTTTTTAAGCTACTTCAGAATATCGGAAGAAGCCACACACTGGAAATGGGCCAAAACAGAGTGCTGCTACCCCCAGCCAAAAAGTAGAAGCCCCTAACGGGGCCTCAGAAAGGTGTGAGTAGTATTGCTCTTGAGATGGTTTAGTTTGCTCCAGCAATTACATTGTGTGATCATCTTGGGTGGGGGGTGGGGGGGGAGAACCAACCTGTCCTTGCAGTGGATGAACAACGAAAAAAATGGATGCCTGATTGAGCCCACTGTTGTTTTTCTTGCAAAACAGATTTGACATAGCAATATGATACAGAGCTAGAAAAAGTTCTTTATGTGGACTGACCATGATGGTTAGGGACTTGGGGAGCTGCAGGTCAAAAAAGGATTATTTTTTTCCAGAGCTCTGATATTACGCATGTTACTGAGCTTAGTTATAAAATCACCCAGTAATGATTATGGCTTGAGTAAGGAGTTGAACCTATCTCAAGTACAGAATTTACTACAATATACTACAAATCAGTCCTCACTATATAAAATGGCATCAAGTATGATATGTAGTGGAGAAATGTAATGTAACAATTATCCATCCGTCCATCCATCCATTCTATTTCTATAGTGCCCCATTAGTGTTGCCACTCTCTGATTAAGGTACTTATATTAGGCCATTCATATTTGGACAATCCTATAAATCAATCAACTCCTCCATTAGAGCCTCTTCACCCCATTTAGTGTCATTCTGGAGGGTCCTCATTCACAAGCTGAGCTATGGAGGGATTAAGAGTGGTTGGAATGAAGAGTCTGGAAGTCACTGTATTACAAGTGGGAGACGCCCCTCAAGAAATCAAGCAGAAAGGTATGAAAAACTCTGTTCTAGTTCTGCCCAGGGAAAGTTTTTTGAGTAGCTAATGGCAAGACTTGTGATTCCGCAAAAGGTGTTTCACCTAAAAACAGAAGATGTAGCATAGTGCTAGTAGTGAACAACTATTAATAGTAGGTTGAAAATAAAAATAAAGCTGAGGAACTTACATGGCAAAACATTGTTGTATCTGTTTTTGCCTTTGTTTTCTGGCAGTTCAGCTGCAAATTTGGGCTGATTTACACCAACCAGCCTGAGATTCTAAAGAAAAAAAAGAAAAAGAAAAAAAAAGAAAAAAAAAGTGATTTACTATTTTTTTCAAGCATGCAAACAGTTCCTGGATTTATTTATTTATTTATATTTCTACCCCGCCCATCTAGACCAAAGGTCTAGTTATTTAAAACATTTATAGCCTGTCCTATATCACATGATCCAGGTGGGTTACAAAGCTGTATAAAACAATTTCGAAACAGAAGATATTTAAAACAATTTAAAATCAAACATTTGAATATTTGACCTTTCAGCAGACAAACAACACTGCACTTAGAATAAAGTCATCTCAGTTTTTGAAGTTTCCAAGCTGTGTATTTATAGCTGATTTGCACCTTTTGGAACGCTGCAGTCTAACAAAAAACAGAGAAATCTTACAAACTGCAGGAAGCTGAGCCCCATTCACATTATCATTTGGGGACTAAAAGCAAAGGTGGAAAAATCTTAGCCTTTTATTTGTGTTGAGGTAAGTACAAGGTTGACACAGCTTCTGTGCAGAAGAATTAACTAAACTAAACAAAATTAAACTAAACCACATTAAAAAGCTAACAATTTTTCAAGTTCATACCTCATATTCTTCTGCAAACCCACAGTTTGAGTCTGCTTTCTGTTTCTTAAAGTAGGAGTCAAAGTGATCAACCTTCATTGACTTTGATCTGTAAGAAAACAAGAATATCCACTTTATAGAACATAGTCTTTCCCCTACCCTCTTCCTGCAGCCATCAAAGGTGCAAAAATATATATTCAGTGTTCTTTGTAGCAGGTTTTTAGGATGCTTGGGAGGCTATGGGAGAGAGAGACGGATGCCAACTCTGAGAGAAACAATGGGATCTTACAGAAATTTACCGCTGACTTCTGAGCGTTATCTACTCTACAATTATTTTGCTGAAAACTCAAAAGGCCTACATTTCATGTCCTGCTAGTGACCAATCATGCATGCTATGGAAGGTTCCCCTCCCAAGTCCCTCTCCTCCCTGCAGCTGCCTAAGTAATGTGCTTTTGCTAAAAATCTGGTTTCCAGCCGCTCCAGGTGGGTACTTCAGTGAGGAGTAGAGGTTCCTCTCCTCTCAATTCTGGTGACAGAAACACTTCTCTGAATAGATGCATCCACCCCAAAAGTGCTGTAGCACTTCAGAGACTAATTCTTAATTGTAGAATGAACTGAGCAGCCAGACATTCACTGCACATTATAATCTATGAGGGTGATAATTAAAGACTAAACAACAGAGATTTCGTTTAAAAAATCAAATCAAATCTGTATCTTGATAAGTGCTAAATATATGAAAAAAGTATCATCAAACATTTGTGACAGGAATCAAACTTTTTTGAGCAACTAAACAGGAATGTAACACATAATCAAATGGGATACAACAATTCTATTATTTATTTAAGGTTTAGTAAATTCTTTACATTTTTCTTAGATTTGGAGGAAAAGAAAAAAGAAAAAGAAAAAATATGCACATTACTAGTGGTGTTAACTGAGCATATAAACTTCTATATTTAATAGGATTTAGATAAATTATACCATATAAAACACCAATTCCCTGCTGTGATATGAGTCTATCCAATTAAGTTTTGGAGCAAAAGAATAGCTTTAAAAATTCATCTGGTGCATTGTTTAAGCTATGTTACTCCCATTTCCAATTACCATATTTTTTGCTCCATAAGATGCACCTCTCCATAAGACACACCAAATTTTTAGGAGAAGAAAACAGGAAAATAATAATCTGTTTTCTTCTCCAAAAAATTTGGTGAGCCTTATGGAGAGGTCCGTCTTATGGAACACACCCTAGGACCTGAGTCCAGCTCCCCCTGCTCCCCCAGGGGCCAGAAGGGGAGAAATCGCCACCTTCTGGTACTCTTTTGAAGCTTCCCAAGCCTCAAAAGAGTCCCAGAAGGTGGCAATTTTGCCCCCTCTGACCCCCGGGGGGGGCAGGGTGAGCCTCCAAAGGACCCTTTAGAGACTCACCCTGTGTTCCAAGACCCTTTAGAGACTCACCCTGCCCCCTGGGGGTCAGAGGGGGCGAAATCGGCACCTTCTGGTACTCTTCTGAAGCTTCCCAAACCTCAAAAGAGTCCCGCGCTGGCCCTGTGGGGGGGTGGGGTGGGGGGAGCATCACAAGGGTCCTGGAAGGCAAAGTGGGGGCAAAATCGCAAGCTTTGCTCCATAAGACGCACAGACTTTCCCCTCCACTTTTTTTGGGGGGGAAAGGGCGTCCTATGGAGCAAAAAATACGGTATATATTTATGTCTCTTTCTTCCTATTCCCCAATAAACTGCTTGAACCAAAAGGAAAGGAAAAACATTTCTTATAAAGGCCTAAGCAAATGCAATACCATTGACACAGGAACAGTGAGATTTTAAAACTTAATGTAATTAGGACCTTAACTTAAAATGTTTTTAAAGGACTGGAATTGTTAAGGAATTCATTCCAATCCTCTTTATTTTTTAAAAAACTAGACTGAAATAACAAGTATAATTGACTCTTTATATTGGCTAAAGAAATAATGTTCCACTCACTCAATGATAGAAAATGGCACATCACTATTTTTTCCACCATCTCTGTAGAATTAAAAAAAATTAAAATTAGTTATTTCTTTTTTTCACTCTTTTAAGCATTTGCTTCGAACTAAATCCACATCTAACCTAGATATACTTTGTAAATATGCCCACATTATACCAGAAATTATGCAAGTCACCCATGTAGTCCAGCTTCTCTCTACAAGACAGAGCTAATTTACCCACCCAATCATGACAGACTGTGCAATGTCACAACGAACAGTGTCTGCACAGCTGTAGCTCTCCAGGTTATGGGAGGCAAATTCCAGAGATTAGAGGGTTACACCCACTTAAGTATTCACCCAAATTGTTTTTTCTTTTGAACATGTAGGTTCTTAAGAAGAAAAAAATTGGTATCCAATTGCGGTCATACTGTACATTATGAACAAAAATAAAAACTTGTGGGGTGGGGATCCAAGGGGTGGCAGATGTACCTCTAATCATAGCAGAATCCTTCCCCCCCGTCAGACAACAAAAAGGGATTTTTTTCATTCCAAAAAAGGTTCTTTAAAAAAATGTAAATGTAAGATTCTATGGTTTTGTTTAATAGTGGTGCCTCGCTTTACGATTGCCCCACATTACGATGAATCTGCTTTATGACGATCTTTTTGCGATTGCAATTGCAAAACGATGGTCTAAATGGGGGAATTTCGCTTTGAGATGATCGGTTCCCTGCATCGGCAACTGATTCTTCGCAAAACGACATTTTTTAAACAGCTGATCGTCATTTGTTTAATACAGTGGTGCCTCGCTTTACGATTGCCCGCATTACAATGAATCTGCTTTATGACGATCTTTTTGCAATTGCAATTGCAAAACGATGGTCTAAATGGGGGAATTTTGCTTTGCAATGATCGGTTCCCTGCTTCGGCAACCGATTCTTCGCAAAACGACATTTTTTTAAACAGCTGATCGTCTGTTTCAGAATGGCCGGATTATTGTCGTTAAGCAAGGCACCACTGTATATGAAAATCCTGAAAATTCATGTGCTAAATATTCAGATCTATTTAGTTGTATTGACTTTTATTCCAAGAGTACTATGAATTGTTTTCTACAATGAGGCTGCTAACAGAGAATTATCCTGCTCCCACAACCCCATCAAAAGCCCTATAATTTCTAGGTTCCGTTGAAAAAACAGCTGGCTGGATAGCTCAGTGGCTTAGGTATCTGGCTACAGAGCCAGAAGATGAGAGCTTGATTCCCCACTGTGCCTCCTGTGTGATCCTGGACAAGCTGCACAGTCCCAGGGTGGTCCCAGAAGAAGGGAATGCTAAATCACTTCTGTAGATTCTCTACCTGGGAAACCCTGAGAAGGGTCACGGTATGTCAGAATTGACTCAACGGCACACAATTATTATTACTGAAGAAACAAAAACAGTGAAACCAATCTGAGCCTGCTTTGAGTATCTAATTCAAATATTCCCATAAGTAATTTATTTTTTGGGGGGGGCAAAAGTCTAGGGGAGACATCTGAACCTCTGAGGGCTGCATATGGCCTGCTAGCTGCATGTTGCCCACCCAATCTAGATCTTTCAAGGAAGCACTGAATGAGCCAGACCACATCTGAAAGCCAAACAGAAAAAAAAAACAAGGAACAATTTCTTTGAGACAAACATAGGCATATAAACACTCACAAAGCTTTCCCAAGAAGGAAATCACTGAGGCCCAACTTGCTCTAAATCCACACAACTTGCTGGAAAATGAAAAACAAGGAGAGTGGAACCTGTTTTAGCCTACTTTTATGGCAAATAGGCCCATAATTAAACATGGTCATGCTGACTAAGCAATCCTGGGAAGTGCAGTCCAAAGATATAAACTCGGTAGAAAAACGTCTTTGAAAAGAAATAGTGCCCGCTCTGTCAGCTATCTGTATTACATAATTAGCTGTTGGTGGTTGCCAAATTACAGTGGTGACTTGACTTACGAACGCCCCGGTAGAAAAACGTTTTTGAAAAGAAATAGTGTCTGCTCTGTCAGCTATCTGTATTAAGTAATTAGCTGTTGGTGGCTGCCAAATTACAGTGGTGACTTAACTTACGAACGCCTTGACCTACGAACATTTTGAGTTACGAATAGCTCTGTTCACAACATTTTGCTTTGACTTACGAACGAAAACTGTGGGGAAAGCGGGAAATGGATTTTGGACTGCTTGGTACTATAATTTTAAAATGAAGAAATTGGTTTTAAAGGTGCTTGGTTTGGTTTAAAGCTGCTTGGTTTTAAAGGTCTTCTGTTTAAAGGTGTTCGTTCCCTCCCTCCCTGCCCTTTTTAAAACCTACTTCTGTTTAAAGGTGTTCATTCCCTCCTTCCCTCCTTTCCTGCCCTTTTTAAAACCTACGTTCATCTTAGATTAAAAGAAAAATTCTCCTCCTAGCGGTAGAGAATGGATTAATCGGTTTTGCATTAGTTCCTATGGGAACTAATGCTTTGACTTACAAACTGTGCCTTGACATGAGAACAAAAAACAGCCAGAACGGATTAATTGGGTTTCAATGCATTCCTATGGGAAATGCTGCTTTGACTTGCAAACTTTTTGACTTACAAACATCTTCTGGGACGGATTAAGTTCATAAATCAAGGCACCACGGTATTGCTCTGAGGCTTCCCCCCCCCCCCATATTTTGGATGCCGAGGGAGAGGGCACTATGTAATAAAAGCAGGCTAAAATTGGTTTCACTTTCTTTCTTTCTTCAAAGGATGTTGATGATTGCAGAAATTTTTTTGTGTGAGGGTGGGTGGGAGATAGTTCTCTACTAACAAACTTTTAATTAAAAAACAATTCACCATTTGCTCAGAATGGCAGTCAATACAGTTAAATAGATCTATTTAGTGCAGCAATTCCTCAAATGTCCATTTATGTGAAACAGAAACCATAGAATTTTGCCTCATCAAATATTAAACATCTAGAAATATCTAAGATGGCACAATGAAAACCTTCAACTTGATTGAGAAACATTTACCATTTTTTGTAAAGCAGAACAAAGCAGCTAACGTACCTTCTCTTTTTCCAGAATATGAATCCTACAATTACAGCAACAATTACAGCAGCCAGAACACATCCAACAACAGCTCCAGTGATGACATCTTCAAAAAATAAAGAAACGGCCAACATTTTGGTGACAAGTCAGAACATTTCTAAAAATGTAGATGGCAGAAGAATTTTTCAGCGAGATATCCTCAACAGCTAGTTTTGCTTTCCAGTTAGCAAGTTCATAGAGCTGATTCAGAGCTGAGGTTTTACGGTTGCCCATTTTCAAATGTGTAATAAATTAGGGATAGGGCATTGTCAGTCTGCTCGATGTTCTGGAAGTCAGTTCTTGGAAGTCCCATGGTCAATAATCAAGGATTTGGGGGGGTCAGAGTACAAAACATATGGTGGGCCACCTTTAGAATAAACATTCCGGGTATGTTCTGAATCTTGCATTACTCCCAAAAAGTAAAAATGGACATTCATCAGTATTTGAATTCCCAACTTGAAGAGCAGACAAGTAATCCATTGCACATATTGAATCTGGTTTCAACTCTTCCTGGCTTCACTGGTTTCTGTCTTTATGGCACTTCAGCATCACGTAAAACTTTTTAGGAATTGTTTTATTTCTCCAGGATAGTTAATCCTTGAAAAATGTGTTTACACTATTTTGGCTTAACTTTATCTTTGTCATCTGCTTTTTAAAAAACAACTGTGATGTTTTACTTGTCCTTGTGTAATTTTAAATTTTTGCATTACCCAGGGAACTTACTGAAGGCAGGGTATAGACCCCCAAATAAAGCAAACAAACATATACATATATATGTGTGTGTGTATGTGTGTATACCATGTTTTCTTTCTATTCAAAGTTAGTATATACTTGAATTTAAAGAAAAGAGAGAATGTTGAGAACTCTCAATAACAATTTCATAGTTGTACCTGGGTTCTGAGGTAGGACTACAGTCCCTGAACTAGGCGAAAATGAGAGAAAACTCTTGTCCACATTGATGAGTTGAATTGTCTCATTTAAATTCATTTGAGTGAAACCAGCAACACACACCCTATAGGAGGAGAAAGCAATGACAACTAAGCTGCACAGTGTTTAATGACAAACACTAATATGTACTTCAGTGTCACTTTCATTCTGCACATAAGAAAATATAGTGAAAAACATGAAGAAAAATACCTGTATGAACCAAGGGGATCTAACTTTCCGTTGACATAACCATATACTTTAGATCCATCTCCTACTTTCATATCATACTGTTGACTGTTAGAGGAAGAGGAATACTTTTGCTGGACTTCAATGATAGATGCAACGTAAGCATTTGTTTTCTTTTTGATGAACTCATCATATGTATACTGCAAGGAATCATTAGAGATTGGTCCTATATGCAAAAAACCAAAATGTACAATAATATAATTTGTAAGCCAAATCTGGAAAATAGGTAGCTAGAGCCTCAGAGCACATCAGTGATAGAAACACCTAGTTATTTTTATAACAAAATTCAGTCATGCTATCAAAAATCAATATGCTTGTGTCCTATTTCAATGACCTCTTACTTAATATAGCAACCTGGTAAAATTTACTGATAATTGCAATAAGCGATATGTCAATGTACACCAATTGTATGATCAAATATTTCTGGATGACAAAAGTGACCACAAATTTCTGCATATGACGTTCCCCATCAGATCTTGGACATGTTCAAAGTATTTCACCAAATATATTAAACCTAACAGAGCTTTTCTCCAGTATCCATAACTACATAAAAAAAACCTAAAGCAAACAAATTTCATAACACAGCGTATTTGCAACTGAACACATTGCTTTCTCTTATCAAAGTCCTTGATGAGAACCAAGAAAGCTCTGGAACAAGATCTAGATAAGTAAACATGACTTGGCACCAGGCCTAGGACAAGGTCAAGATATTCCAAAGGAAAAGAAAATAGCCAATAAGGTTCCTTGAAAGAATTTTTTAAAAAAATCAATAGCACTTTCTTATCCCTGTAACTCAGCTCTATAAGATTGTGGGGGGGTGGGGGGAAAGGCAGTGGGGAGTGAGATTGTTCCACTAATAAAAGCCATTCTGAGCCCAGAAGCAGAGCTGGAGCCCATGGTTTTGTTGTCAACAGATCCCACCTCTGCTGGTGCCATAAACCGGGTGGTGGGATGAGGGGTGGCAGGGTGCACAGGCCCCCAATACCCCTGTTTCCCAGTTTAATTGAAAATATATTTTTTAGCTACTGGAGTTGCAAGCGTGCTTTTTCAGTTAAGACATTTCCCCTAATTTTTATAAGTACAGTGGTGCCTCGCTTGACGAGGATAATTTGTTCCATTCAAATCACTGTTAAGCGAAATCCTTGTCAAGCAAAACGAAAAAGCCCATTGAAATGCACTGAAAAAGAAAGGTTACTTACCTGTAACCATGGTTCTTCGAGTGGACCTCTGTGAATTCACACATATGGGTTTAGTCTGCGCCTGCGCTGACATTCTCGGAGCATTATAGAGCTAAAAGTAACAATTTTATGGGATGTTCCCCCATGAGGCACAAGCTCC